GAGTATAATTTTATAGGCATTGGTCATACTATCATTCCAGTTAAATATTTTGCATTTTTTTCCCCTGCTTTCTAACCTCTACCATAAAGGTTTTAAAATTGAGGTGGAGGAGGGATGGTGATACCATTCTAGTCCTTTCTAATGGACTAGAAAGGGAAGAGTCAGCTGAGGAAAAGAAAAAGGAATCAGTGTGTTAACTGCAAGAGATACCCATGCGTTGATTTGGCCCACTTCCTTTATTATCATTATCGTTATTATTATTATTATCATTGTTTTGAGACAGTCTCATGCTGTCACCCTAGGTTGAATACTGTGGCATCATAGCTCACAGCAACCTCAAACTCTTAGGCTCATGAGATCCTCTTGCCTCAGCCTCCTGAGTAGCTGGGACTACAGGCGCTTACCTGGCTATTTTTTCTATTTTTAGTAGAGACAGGGAGGGTCTCTATCTTGCTCAGGCTGGCCTTGAACTCCTGAGCTCAATCAATCCATCCACCTCACCCTCACCTTGTTAGGATTAAGGCGTGAGCCACCCCATCTGGCCAGGGACTAGTGTCCTTATAAAAGAGGCCTGAGAGGATGTGAGGATGCAGCCATGAGTTGGCAGTCTGAAACCTAAAGAGGCCTCTCACCCCAACTTGACCCTGCTGGCACTCTGATCTCAAACTTCCAGCCTCCAGAACTGTGGGAAATAAATTTCTGTTGTTTATAAACCACCTAACCGACAGTAGGTGAATTATTAGAGCAGCCCAAACTCAGACCATCATATGTTGCTTTTTCCATGCGTACATGTGGGCATGTGAACACAGCAGTGAAAAGAATTCTTTATTATTTAAGGAAGTTCTTTCTCATTCCTTTTTGTTTGGAGATTCAGAATGCATATAGATCAGCTCTATCCTTTGTATGCCTTGCTTAACTCCCTAGCCATGATGACTTTTCTTCCTCATTGCAGACTCTCCTTCCCAATGCCTCGGAAACAGGCACTGACAGAGGCCTAGTTTTCATTCTGAGACCAGAGCAGAGTGTGTGCACTTGGTACTTAGAGACTTTTGATGCCGAACCCGTTCAAAATGTGGCCATTTTACTCTCCTACTCAGAAAAAGGTAACCTTTCTGTTCTCAACTCCCTGGAATATGGGATGTGTTCATGAATATTTAAAGAAAATTATCTTATTAAGATTGTTTATTATAAGTGCAGTTTATTTAATCAGAAATGTTTTTATACCAAGCGAGCCAGAGAATTAGCACGATGACCGAAATCTAGGTCCTGAGAGAATACCTTAATTCCTTCAAAACACATTTAAGGAGGCCTTAGAGAAGCACTGATAGTAAGGCAGAGGGCAGTCCTAAACAGTTCAGTTAGTTATGCTAGGCAGACGAAGCAGTGAGCGTTATGTTAGGAGGAAGAATGGAGAATTTGGAGAATGGCATGCAGTGGGTATGGCTGGACCCAGACTCTGGAGGGCCTTGCATACAATTTGAGATTTGTACTCTTTTTTTTTGAGACAAACCCTGTGCTTTGGTAGAGTGCTATGGCATCATAGCGTACAGCAACCTCAAAATTTTGGGCTTAAGAGATATTCTTGCCCCAGCCTCCCAAGTAGCTGGGAATACAGGCGCCTGCCAGAACACCTGGCTATTTTTTTGAGAGGGGATCTTGCTCTTATTCAGGCTGGTCTTGAACCTATGAGCACAGGGCAAATCCACCCGTCTTGGCCTCCCAAGTGCTGGGATTATTTATGGATGTGAGCCACCGTGCCCGGCGAGATTTATAGTCTTATTTTGAGGTAGGTTTCAAGGAGGCATAGAGTCTTTACACAGGAATGATGTGGTCCTTTTCATCTCTTGTAAAGCTACCTCTAGAAGTAGTATGGGCGGGTAGTTTGGAGAGGGCACAGCAGAGTGAGGACCCAGCACACTTTTGAGAGGACTGAGGCTGTGAACAGAGGACATGAGAGCAGGGCTGGAGAAGAGGGGTCAGTGAAGGCAGAATTGATGATATAATGGCAGCTGCGAGACAGTAATACAAAATAGGCCTGGGAACAGGGTTGTTGTGGTGCTGTTTGGGGGGTGCAGGTTGGAACAGATGGGGATTTCAGCTTGGGACACAATGGATCTGAGATGTTTGCAGGGCATGTGGGTGGAAAGGTAAAGGAGACAGTGTAAATCTGGTGCTGAAGTAGTGGGTGAGCTTACACACTCAACAAAACAGCTATTTTTTTTTTTCTTTTGAGACAGAGTCTCAAACTGTTGCCCTGGGTAGAGTGCCGTGACGTCGTAGCTCATAGCAACCTCCAACTTGGGCTCAAGCGATCCTCTTGCCTTAATTTTTCTATTTTTAGTAGAGATGGGGGTCTTGCTTTTTGCTCAGGCTGGTCTTGAACTCGTGACCTCAAGCAATCCATCCACCTTGCCTCCCAGAGTGCTAGGATTACAGGCATAAGCCACCACACCTGGCCATCGAAATAGCTTTTTTTGAAACAGCTTTAATGAAAGCTATGGCAGGGAGGGAGTTCACCAGGCACGTACTTAGAGATTGGGAGAGGGGGCAGAAAATACTTTCATAGTGCCTACCACATGTCAGGCACTGTTTCTGGGGATGCTGACTGCTGAGGAGCACATGCCAGACAGAGGAGGAGTCAGACCCTGGGAAGACAGCCTGGAGGCTCTGCCTTAAAAGCATAAGCAGTACACTGTAGAGAGGTCAAGAGAAGGAGGAGCTCAAGGCATCCAGGTGATAGAGCAGTTAAGAGTCAGTGGTGGCCTTCAATGAGAGTCATTATAGTGGCACAACAGGATGAAAACCTTTTTTTTTGAGACGGAGTCTCTGTTGCCCTGGGTAGAATGCCATGGTGTCATGGCTCACAGCAACCTCAAGCTCTTGTGCTCAAGTGATCTTCTTGCCTCAGCCTCCCGAGTAGCTGGGACTACTGGTGCCTGCCACAAGCCCTGGTTAGTTTTTCTATTTTGAGTAGAGACAGGATCTCACTCTTGCTCAGGCTGGTCTTGAACTCCTCAGCTTAAGCAATCCATCCCATCAGCCTCACAGAGTGCTAAGATTATAGGCCTGAGTCTCTGCGCCTGGCCCAGGGGTGAAAACTTGATTACAGTGATTGAGGAGCGAAGATGAGATAAAGAAAGTTAGACTACTCTTAAAGTTTGGGGGTGAAGGGAAGGAGAGAGAGCACTGATTAGTGAAGGAAATAGAGCACTGATTAGTGAAGGAAATAGAATCTGGAAGATTAGTGGAGTTGAGGAAGGAAAAGGTTATCTTTAACAAAGGGGTAATTACCCAAGAGAAAAACCATAGACTTCTGGCTTCTGTCCTGAACAGTGTGCAGAGGAAACTTACGAATAGTGGAGCTTCAGACTGAGTACTTGGCATTTTCTCTGGTATGGTGAATTTCTGCAAATGTAGAACAAGGAGAATATGTAAGAAGAGCACAGAATTTTGAGGAAGAGTCCAGTGATGTTAAAACATATATGCACCCTTGTTCCAGTTCTGGCCAAGGGAAGTCAGTTAATAGCTGACTTTTTAAACTCTAGAGCAGAGATCGGCAAGTATAGACCATGAGCCAAACCCAGCTACTTGTCATGCAATTTTATTGAAACCCCTCTGTGCCCATTTCTGTATGTGTTGTCTATGGCTGCTTTCCTGCATGGTTGGGTGGCTGGCACAGGGATCACCAGACCAACAAAGCCTCACATACTCACTGTCTGGTTCTTTACAGAAAAGGTTTGCTGTCCTTGCTCCGCTCCCGGGCTCTTTTTTTTTTTTT